TCCCCATTTCCAAGGTGGGAAAACTGAGGGAAGAAGGGGGGGAAAAAAAAAGGACACTTCTAGCACTGGGAAGAGAAATAAGTCTCCTGAATCTTAGTCAATTAACTGTCTACTGACTCTCTCTAGTCTGACAGTCTGTGACTATTCACATGGCATGTAATTAATTGTGCATAAATGGTGGCAGTGCTGAGGAATCAGTCCAGAGATGGGTCAGTTGCTCTCCAGGCTGTATAGAGGCAGTATGGCATTTTTTGCACCTCTTAATGATAAAAGCAACAGGTCAAATACTGGATTTTGAAATTTGGAGGTTTGTAGTGTCAAGGGGAAAACAGTGGGGGGAAAAAAAAAAGGTTATCAAGTTAGCTTCCCTTTTTCCTCTTTTTCCAGCAATTGGATTACAAATTGTAGGAATTTGTCTTACAATATAAAAGTTGTGCAGCCATGTGAACCAAGTACTGCAGCCTATATTTGCAGATATAACATTGTTAGAAGCAACTTATTGTTCAGTAGCACTGGAGACATACTGGAAATGTAAAGAATACTGGGTCTGCATTGTATTTCTTGATAAATTCCAATTTCGCTGCCACTATGATGGAAGGAAAACTGAGATTTGATGAATGAAATTGAGACTCTCTATGAAAGAGAGCAACAGCTTTGAAGAACTGCCAGGTTTCAGCAAAGGTGAATAAGAAAGAAATAGACATTTCTGAATAAACTGCCTTTCCCCTCTTCAAAAACAAATCACCATCTTGTAAATTGTCTTCTCGGGTGAGAATCCATCCTTCATGGACAGGAGACAGGCTGTGCAGCAGAGACAATTGATAGATGTTAGAAGACAAACCACTAAAAGACAAATATGTCTTCAGAAAACAGTATTAGGTAATATTTTAAAGAATGGCCACACATCATATTCACACAGATGCCAACAGGAAGCACAGTTCAGGAACAGAAAAGCTTTCAGATAATCTCCACCCGTTATGAAGCCAAAACCTCAACATCACTAACACATCTTAACTCATTTTCAGAAGTCGCCCCTCTAGCATTTGATGCCGTACCATATATGTTTCATACTTCAGCACAGATTTTTATCAAGAGGTTTATTCACTAAAATGTGCAAAATCTATAAAAAAGCTCATGACTATTAATATTTCATGTCTCACATACTTATCATGTCCAGGGGACAGCAGTCCGAAGTGGGAATTTTCAAAAGTGCTCAGTGTTGGTCTAACTGGTGTGCTGAAGTGAATAGTAAAACTGTTGACTACCAACATGCGATGCAATTGTTTCTGCAGACCTGCATCTCTAACTGGACTAGAAATTGGGTTATTTTGCTAAGGATTACAAGAGACTCTGGTGAGCATTTCTCACCTACGTCTTCCAGCTGAAGTCTTTTGTCCATAGCCATCAACAATGATGCTTGCAATTCAACCAGGTTGGAAAAATGACGTTACATAGTGGTAGTATATAAATGCGATTTGGTATTGTATATGTAAGAAGAAAATGCTAAGGGGGGAACAGATTTTCTTTTTCCCCCCTCTAGTCTTCAAAAAGGACTCTCACTGTGTTGTAAAACCTAACCTAATTTGGATACTTTTCTATCTAAAATGATGGAAAAGTATCCAAATAAGGATAGGTTTTACAACTAAGAAAATGCAGCAATACTTAAAGCTGAGACTATCAGCTGTGCTTGGGTCCTGAAAAGGAACACCTGGATCTGAAACCTTAGCAGCAGATGCCACTAATTGAGTATTTATTGGCTCAACAACTCTCCAAAAAACCACTAACACTAAAAAAAAAAAAAGTGTGCACACAGGAAAGAAGAAAGAAATTAATCAGTCCAATCAATTATACAAAGTTCAGGAGCAGGGAAAGGAAGTTTTACAAAGGAGATTTACAAATATGCGTGGTCAGGTTTCCTAAAACCCCATGCCTGTATCAGATCTTTTCAGCATAAATGATGGTTTCTCTCTCTGGCAGGATTTTAGCTGAAGGGCAAGCTTGTTCTGAAAAGTAACTCCATAAAATGAAATGACATTGTGGGAGCCCACCACGATGGGGCTGGATCTTTAGCTGATGTTCCGCTAAACTCCTCAATTGCACAGAGCTTGTGAAGAATTGCAGCACCAGGAAATACGACTGGTTGAGCTTTCGTTTCTTTATCTGAGGTGCACTGCTGCACAGCTGTAGGGGTAGGAAGGAGACAATGGTGTTATGCCTGCTGCAGAGGCTCATTTGGGGAGCTGGAAGTCTGGGTGGGCACATCCTGGCATGATTGCACTCCACAGACCAAGTGCTGCATTCGTTTTACCTAAACACATCTGTCTCTGATGCTCTGTATCATGATAAAAGATGCTTCTCATCTTGTGACCTCAGGTGGGCTGATGCTAGAGATGCAGCAGGAGCTGGCCTGACTGCAGTGTTCAGAGGTAGTGGGCTCTGCAGAGGGGTACTTAGTTGGTTGTTGTGCTAATGAGGCATGAACTGTAACTGGACCTTCACAGATGACACTTTGAGGGCCTTATTCCGTGTATTCCCCAGGGCACTGGCTGAAAGGGAGCCAGATCCACCCTGGTGAGAGATCTCCATGTGGGTCAGGCAGCGTGGGGACGGTGCTGAGGCATTGCTGAGGTGTGTGTGCCAGTGCATTCAGGGAACGTGCTGTTAGTGCTTTGGTGTTTTTTGGGACCTCATGGAAACAGACAGGAAGGCAGTTGCTGCCCCAGCAGCTCCTGATCAAAATAGACTGAGAGATGACAAACTAGAAGGGGAAATGTTGTCTTTTATGGTCAAGAGAACAGAAGACAGTGAGAGCCTATTTATATTTAAAATCGGAGAGGGGCAAAGCTACAAGACCCGCCTGATATCAGATCAGAGTATATGCAGGCCTACAGAACAACCACAACCACGTTTCCCACTTATAAGGCTCATCATCCTAATATAGAAAGCTCCTGGAGATAACACGAAGTTGGGCATATAGTACAGCCTATGCTCCAGGCACAGGGAGTAAGTGTTGAGGCAAGAAATGACTTTTTCCTGGCATGACCCACTACAGATTGAACTGGAATGGCAATTAGAAGTTGAAGTGCTCATTTAATGTCAGTGATGTGTAAACTACGTTGCCATTGTTATTTTAGTGCTGATTTACATAATTGGCATACCCTGAAGTCACACTGCACGCACTTTTAGTTCATGCTAAAGACTTGCAGGAAGTCATAAAATTAAACATTATCTGTGCTGGAATGCAACGGAAAAGTAACTAAACTTTTTAAGGATTTCACCTCGCTCCGTGTCACCTCTTTCACCTGTGGTTGTTTGTGTGGCAGCGACCGAAAATCAGGTTAACAAGTGTTGGGAGCTGTTGGTATGAAGGGCTTTACCAGCTCTTTAATTAGTCTGGTGTAGTTCTAGGGTGGTTTGTTACACTGGTATGTAGCTCCCCGCGTGAGCACCTCACTCCTGCAGCGACATTTTGCCGGTGTAGCTGAAGTCACTCTAACGTGATAGGGAAGTCAAGAGATGAGGGTCCACAGGAGGAATTATTCTAGTCCAAATGTGTTGAATTCCTACCTCAAATCGGTGGTTTTCTGATGTCGAAAAGTTGTAAGATGGAGGGAAAAGGCCGCTCCCAAAAGGAGGAGCTGGTAATGGAGCTGTCTCAGTTGTTATTGCTTTAAATCCTCCTCCGCAGTAATTCAAGGTGTCAAAGGCTGTCTGTGTCTTTTGCAAATGAAGCCCCCGAGAGGTATTGGGAAGAGGAGGTGCAGCACAGGGCGCTCGCCTTGCCGGGAAGGAGCCTGGGCTAGCAGCAGGACCCCAGCTAATGACGGTGTGCCGATGGCTTTGGCTTTGATGAGGACCCTAAATTGCTAGGTGTTGCATACCTGGGCAAGAAGGGCCAGGCCGTAGCGCAGAACCAAAGGAGACAAACAAGAGATGGGGCAGAGGATGCGCCCCTACCCAGGGGTTACTAAACCGCGTCGGGATTAAGAGATTTGCCCCTAACAGCAAAGGGACATAGCTCGGATTGGGAGCCCAGTCCCGCTGAGGACAGGCCTGTCTCCTTCACCCCTTCCACCCCACGCCTGTCCGCCCCCGTGCCCGTAGCGAGGGGGCGGTGGAGGCTGTACACCCCCTCACCCCCTCACCCCCCCACCCGGCGTGGGCACCCGGGGCAGGTGCCGGGCGGAGGGCGGTTTGCGATGGGGTTGCCGGAGATCCGCCGCATTTCCACCACTGGAGGGCAGCCACATCTTTTTTAAAAAAAAAAAAAAAAAAAAAAAAAAAAAAAAAAAAGAACCACCAACAAAAAAAACACAGAACAACACGCCGAACCCTCCGCCGTCCGGCGCTCAGCCCGCAGTCGCACGCACCGCGGCAGCCCTCCGGGAGGAGACTCCCCCCGGTCCTCGGCGCTCGTCTTTCGGGGCGGATTGCGAGGGAAACCCCCGGGTTTGGACCGGTAGAAACATAAATATATATATTTAAACTGCTTCGAAAGCACCGGGATTCTCCCGATACCTTACGTGACCTTCACACCTTAGCGGCCCGGGGCACCGCGTTTAATCCGATTTGCGGTGGCGGAGCGCTCGGGCACCGCACAACGGGTCATTGTTCGGCCCGGCCCCATCCCTCGTCCCGGGGCGGGCGAGGGAGGAGGGAGGGAAGGAACGGAGGGAGGGAGGCGGCGTCTCCTTTAAAAGCCGTGCGGGGCCGCAACCCGCTCCCACAGGGCGGCTGTGATTGGCGCGGGCCAGCGAGCCTCCGGGGTCGTGACATCGCCCGGCGACAAAAAGCCCCGGCGGCGGCACCGGCCACCCCCGGCAATGGTGCGGTGCGGTGCGGGAGGGACAGCCGGTGCTGTCCCTTAGCTCCACGCGGGACGGCAGCAGGCTACTCCCCACCCTTATTTTTTTTTTTCCTTTTTTTTTTTTTTTTTTTTTTTCTCTCCTCCCTCCTCCTTTTCTTTTTAAGGGAGCGGAGAAAAGTCAAGCTTCGTCTTCATGTCGCTGCGGGAGTCTCGGTAAATGTCCGTCAGTCTGATGCGGGTGATGCAAAGGACATTTTTGAAAAGGGAGAAGCCCTTCCCTGGCCGGGACTTGCCTTCTGCCTCCTCAACCAGCTGCTAAAAGTATGTTTCTGAGGCGGACTGTACTTCAGGGAACTTCTATTTTCTGCTCGGCAGCTGTAGAGGAGCAGCAGCGAAGTTTGGAGTAACACCAAGTGATGCGGGAAAAACACCCCGAGAGCAGAACACCCTCCTGCAGACACAACCCCTGCTGCTGCACACAGGTATAACCCCGGCGGTCGCAGATCCGCTGAAATTCAGCCTTCTCCGCAGGATGACTCCGTGGGCCACGGCGGAGGTGCTAGCGCTCTGGAAGAGAGAGGGGGGACGGGACACTAATCATAACAATTATAATAATAATAATAATAATAATCCAGCGCAGAGTTTCACGGGGGAGAAGAATATCCTGTGGGTTTGGCTAAGGACGTAGCAGGATTTGTATTTTTTTTTCCTCCTTCCCCTTCTTCCATTCCCGCCGAGGGAAAAGAGCTCTCCGCTGGGGAGAGCCGCTGCCCCGCCGCCCGGCCCCGCCGCTGGGGAAGCGGGGCCGGCCCCGAGCCCCCGCGGAGCGGCTCGGCGGGATGGAGGGAGGGGGGGGCGGGCGCGCGGGGGGGGGGG